AGGGCGGGGGCGCGCCGCGCGCTCTCGGGCGCCCTCTGCGCGGCCTTACTTGCCTGGGGCCCCCCTCCCCCGCCAGGGTCTGCACAAAGGCAGGAGCGCCCTATGGGGCCCCAAGATGCACGGGAACTACGGGGGTGGCACGACAGACGTGGGCCCCTGGGATGGCACTGGGAAGGGTCCAGTCTCTGCGCGCCTTGGGGGGCCTACAGCCGCCCCCTCTTGTGCCCGCGGTCTCGCCGCTTCCGCATCTGCTCGGCGGCCCCCTCTGCGTCTGGCTGTCTCCCCATCACTTACGTCTCTCTGCCCCCCTTTGTTCTCGCTTCCCCACACCTCCCCCAATCCGGTATTTAAATCGCCTCCAGGCCAGGGAGTCTCCCCTCCCCTCATCCCCTCGCGGGCCTCTGGGGACACGCAGTGTCCATCCCCAGCGGAGGGGCCCTTGTGGGGGAGGGGCGAGGGGGAGGGTCTCCTTTGTTTGAGCAGCAGACTGTGCCGGGGAGGGAGGGGGAGAGCCCGGGTCGTTGTAGCCCCCGAAGGCCTCTATCAGAAAAGGCCGGAGCCCCGCGGCGCCCACAAAGACGAGCCCGGGCAAGAATTGGGGAGTTGTAGGCAGGAGCTGCCCAGGAGGGGGGCGCGGGGGAGGGTGGCAAAGAGCCCACGGGGGTTCAGGTGATGGAAAAGTCTCTTGTTCCTTGCAGATGGGAGGCTGCTTTAACCTAGAGTTAAGTCAGCTGGTTAATGGGGAGGACTCACAGGAGTGAGAGGCCTCCCCACAGGCACTTGGGTCTGGGGAGCGGTAAGGGTGGGAAGCGCTCCCCTGTCGTCGTTGTTCCCCCCCCTCCCCGCGCACGCACAGCCCTCCTTCTCGGCCTCCGCTTCCGCGTCTCTGTGTTGTCTCCCGTCTCACCCTCTTCCTTCCTACCCCCAGCCGGCTCAGTTCGGGGAAGCTGCAGGAATTCGGCGTGGGGGATGGTAGCAAGTTGACGCTCGTGCCCACGGTGGAAGCTGGCCTTATGGTAAATGACCGAGGGGCGCGTGCCCTGGAGGCTCCTGTCTTTTGGCCACCTCATTGCATACATGCACCATCCTGCCCCTTACAAAGAGCTCTCCCACCCACCCCTAACACATAGGGCCCCCTCCCCATTCCCTGTTCTAAACCTACACTGAAGACACTTTTCATCCCTCTCTTGTAGTCCCAAGCCTCGAGGCCGGAGCAGTCCGTTATGCAAGCTCTGGAAAGTTTGACCGAGACCCAGGTAAGCAACTGCCACCCTCTCCCTAACCCTGGGGGTGGGGGCTGCAGGCAGTGGCTACGCCTAGGGACCGTGCAACTCTCTGGACACCCTTAGAGCCTCCAGTTGTTTGTGCTTCCCTGGTGGCCTGTGGGGGAGGGGATGAAAGCCCCGCCTTGGTGCCAGCTTGGCCTGGTCACCACGCTTCCTCTTCCTCCCTGCCTCCCCCAGCACCTGACCACCTGACCTTGAGAAGTTTTCTCTCCCACGGTGACTACCGTCCTGGGGGGGGGGGGGTCCAATCTTTCGACCAGCCCTAACCATGGGTGACCTTGCCCCGAGCTGGTTGAAACTGTACCCTCCACAGCCCAGCACACTCCTAATCTAGAGCCCCCCTCCCCCCCCCAGAAAAAAATCTGAACCAAGATAAAAATCCTGATTTGGGAGAGCTATGCCTCTGGGGAAGCCAGCCGACAAAACTCAGCCTAGCCAAGGCAAAGCAGTGGGAGTCATCCTATCCCCTCCTGTCTCTGGCCTTTGTTCCCTGCCCTGGCAGGGGGAGGGGCAGGCAGGGGCACCCAGCCCTGGGCCAGGGAGGCCTAGACAGGATGTTAAGAAAATATTTAGTAAGCAGCCCAGAGGGAGGCTGGGCCTGGCTCTGAGGAGGCTTCCAGGTTTTGTTGAGCGCTGCCCCCCCCCCATTCTTGGCCATAAGAGGGCCTCCTCTCTCACAATCAGGGTCCTCAGCTCCTTCAGTTCTCCAGCATAGCGACCCAAGCACCTGGAGTTTGTCCCCAGGAGGAGGGGAACGGCCCATGCTGGCCCTCACTCCGTAGACTAGACTACAAACCAAACCGTAGCATCCTGCCTAGAGGCTTAGTGGACACAAGGGACTCAGAACACTCAGTGGTCCTGCCTCTCTGGCGGGGTTGGGTTCCTGGGAGCTAGCAGTGGGGGCTGAAGGTGACTGTCGGGACTAGTTTAAGCAGACTTGCACTTGCTGGCCTGTGGGGGGGGGTGTGCCTGGCAGGAGGGGGTTAGTGGGTGCTGGGTGTAGCCTTGAGGTCACCAGAGTGGATTACTCAGCAGGCCACCCATTTGCCCTTCCCCTGGGAGAAAGGGGTGATCCCAACTGCCCAGGAAACCACTTCAGGCTCTTCCCTGTAAAGGGTGTCAGGCATGGAGGAGGGAGTGCAGGGTGGGGGCTGCTCTCCTGCCTGCCCACCCCTGTATCCCCTCCCCATGGGGCCCAGCCCTCTGCCAGCAGAGCCGGGGGGGGGGGGGGGGGGGGGGGGGGGGTAGGGAGCTCTGCGAGGCGGTCTGGTGACTCATAGGCCTGTGTCACTTCTCAGAAACCTCCCCCCACACACACACCCTGGCCTCTGGGGAGAACAAGGCAGATAGTCTGGGTCCCAGAGGTGGGAGAGAGGGTGCCCAGGGCATCCAAGGGTCAGGTAGGCCCGCAAATCAGCCCTACAGAGCCTCTGGGGGAGGGGAGGGTTGGCAGGTCATATGGAAGCCCTTGGGGCCGGGCCTCCAGGCTCCTCCCCCCCCCCCCCCCCAGCCCAGGATATATAAATATTTATCTTGGGAAAGCAAAGCATTAGGAGCTCCTTCAGGATTCAGTCTGCCTCTTGGGTGGCTTAGCTATAAAGGGGATCTTGAGGATTCTCTTAGCTAGATTCATAGGCAAACAGGATCTGGGGTCTGAGGGTGGGTATTCAAGGGAGGGCAGTGACCATCATCTGCTGGGCCCCGCCCCATCTGGGCTCAGTTTCCCCTTTAATGGACCCAGAACCAGAGGCCCCAATCTGACCCACCTCTGTCCCCCCCACAGCCCCCAGCGACACCCGGGCCAGGCCGGGCTGCCGGAGGAGGCTTCCGGAAATACAGATTGATTTTATTTAAGCGTCCGTGGCACCGACAGGGACCCCAGAGCCCAGAGAGGGGCGGCGAGAGGCCCCAGGTCACACTGCGGGAAGAGCTGGGCTGGGTTGGGCTGGGGGCATCAGGGCTGAGAACCCCCTCAACTAATGAGTGTCTCCCTGCTTCTCTCTTTAGGTCAGTGACTTTTTGTCAGGCCGCTCACCTCTGACCCTGGCCCTTCGCGTTGGGGATCACATGATGTTTGTACAGTTGCAACTGGCTGCCCAACACGCCCCGCTCCAGCACCGCCATGTGCTTGCAGCTGCCGCTGCAGCCGCTGCCGCCGCTCGGGGAGATCCCAGTGTAACTGCCCCAGTGTCCTCACCCTGCAGGCCGGCGTCCAGTGCCGCCAGAGTCCCCCCGGTATCCAGCAGCCCTTCGCCTGTGTCCCCTTCACCTGTCACCGCTGGCTCCTTTCGATCCCACGCAGCCTCTGCAGCTTCTACAGCCTGTTCCGAGGTGAGGATGGAAATGCTTCCCTTTGTATTCGGGGCGGATTGTGAGGGCTCCAGCTGTAGCCTTTGTATCAAATGCTCTTCCCTGATCCTGAGCCCGATGAATTTATACCTGGAGTGCCGGACTGGGGTGAACTGGGCTGAGGAGTGGACCCATCACGACCCTACCTACCATTTGCCAATCTCTCAGCAGCAGATGGACTGTTCCCCACCGGCTAGCAGCAATGCCACGTCCACCCCAGGCAGCAGCTCTACCCCTCGCTCCCGCAAACCCGGTGCCGTCATCGAGAGCTTCGTGAATCATGCCCCTGGGGTCTTCTCAGGCACCTTCTCTGGTAGGTGCCACACCACAGCAGTGATCTCGAGGTCTCGTGTACTGGGTAAATGCCTTCTCCAGCAATCTGGGACATGAACTAGTGTGACTCTGGACACATGGGATGCTATCTGTAGTTAATTTGTGGTCACTGTAATATTGGGGTACTGCTGCTGATTCGTGCCCCAAACCTACTATACTTTTATTTTGCAATGGGGTCTTTTCTTTCTGAGTCCCCCCGGACTGGCTTAGAGTTTCAAATCTCGGCATCCTGAGTAGCTGGGGATAACGGATGGTCTGCCACCAGACCTGGACACTGTAGACTGCCCTGTCTGCCTGTGTCATTGCCACACTGAGAACTTGGGCAACCTTGGGACTCAACGATCCTTTCCACTCGCAGGCACACTGCATCCCAACTGCCAAGACAGTAGTGGGCGGCCACGGCGAGACATTGGCACCATTCTGCAGATACTCAATGACCTCCTAAGTGCCACGCGGCATTACCAGGGCATGCCACCCTCCCTGACCCAGCTCCGCTGCCATGCCCAGTGCTCACCTGCCTCACCAGCCCCCGACCTCACCCCCAAAACTACCTCCTGTGAGAAGCTGGGAGCCACTTCCCCCACCTCCCTGCTCCAGGGCCAGAGCCAGATCAGAATGTGCAAACCCCCTGGTAAGTGGCCCTGTTGCCAGCCTCCCTGCTTCTCAAGGCCTCCTCTGTGTGCCTGTGGGTGAGGGGACAGCTGACCTGACTGGGGACCCTCTGGAGCTGACAGCTGCTGCTCCCTCCCCCCAGACCTGCCCCAGCTGGGAAGAAGAGACAACTGTGTCTGCATAGAGTGTCCTTGTGAGCTCCAGGGGGCTCCGGTGCCACTTCCTCCTTCCCCTCCTGAGGCCCCTCTCCAGATGGCCTTGGGTACTTTCATGAATGACTGAGTCAGGTCTAGGCTTCCAGACACAGCCAGATGTGCCTCCTCCTCCCCAAGCTGTGGGATGACAGTGGCCACTGCTCTATCACCTAGTGATCTATCCCAGATCACCTGCTTCTGCAGCCATGTTTACAGAAGTAGGAAACTGAGGCACAAGCTTTTTAACACTTATGATTCTAAAAGAGGTTCTTTTGATTATTTTGTTTGTTTGATTTTTGCATTTCCTTACTAGCAAGACCGCCAGCCCCTCACTAGGGAATTTTAGGCAGAGGCTCCACCCTGACCACACCCCCAGCCCTTCACTGGGTACTCTGGGGGGGCTCCCATCTCTGAGCCAAGCCTTCAGCTCTTATTTTCAGAGGGGCTTTTACTTCATTGTCCAAGCTGGTCTTGGACCTGGAATGTTTTGGTCTCTGCTTCCTAAATAATCATGCATTGATTGACTAAACTACAGTTTTTGTTGTTTGAGACAGGGTCTCACCATGTGACCCTAGCTGTCCTGGAGTTTACTATGCTTAAACCGAGCTAATCCCCATCCTCCTGTCTCTGAGTCTGGAATGCTGGGATTAAAGGCATGTGCCACCAAGCCCAAGTTACTCCCTGCATTTCTCAAGTGGCTGACTAAATCTCTGTCCTTTTCATTGCTCAAATCCCCTTACAACACTTACTCAGGCTTCCTCCCGCCTTTGGAGATTCTAGCTGACCATGACTGGTGCTCTAGAATCTGATCTGCAGTGGGGGCTAGAGATTCACAGGTGCCTGGTCTCCTTTTGTAGGAGACCGTCTGCGACAGACAGAGAACCGCGCCACACGCTGCAAAGTGGAACGCCTCCAGCTCCTGCTGCAGCAGAAACGCCTGCGGAGGAAGGCGCGGCGGGACGCTCGGGGTCCCTACCACTGGACCCCCAGCCGTAAAGCTGGCCGCAGTGACAGCAGCAGCAGCAGCGGGGGCGGAGGTAGCCCCAGTGAGGCTGGAGGCTTGGGCCTGGACTTCGAGGACTCCGTCTGGAAGCCTGAAGTCAACCCGGACATCCAGTCCGAGTTTGTAATGGCTTAAAGGATCCAGCCCCCTTGGGTCTATCACATCTCCACCCCAGACACGGGGCGGGTGGGGCACTGCAGCCTGGACGCTGAGCCCAGCTCTGGGGCAGGAGGTCACCTCCATTGCCACTCACCAGCCTTTCTGATTCTTTTTTAACTCTTCCCCTGGTTGCCCTGCATCCCTGGTCACACGCCCATCTCTTCCCTCACCATGGTCGGTTCTGGTGGCCTCTGCGCCAGGGCTCTTCCCTCCCACCTTCTTCAGCTCCAAATATGTAGCAGTCTGTTCCCAGATGCCCAGACGGAGGAAGCCACCCACCCCCAGCCCTTCCGTTCTGCCTAGCTCTTACCCACCCCCCTTCCATAACCCAATTCAGGTTTTTAACTCAAAATGTAGATTCTCCAAGAAGCACTTTACAGTTGAGGGTTGGGGACCCCAAGATGAGTATCTACCACCCCCACCCCCATCTGCAGACTTGGCCTCCTTTCCAGGCCAGCTGGATCCCTCCACCCCTTCCACCCCAGCTCACAGGGGATACCTTTGTCCACAATGCCTACTTAACTCCCAGCCTTCCTCTTGCCTCTCAGGCCTTCAAGTGCTACAACAACAGGCCTTCACCACTGCCTGGCTGGCCCCGCCCCCACTGTCCCCCCTCCCTCCCCACACCCACTTACTTCCCTAACCTTCCTTTCCCAGTGGAGCTTGGGGAGCTATTTATAGATTTCATTTCTGACTGAGCCAGTAGTGCTTGCTGTTCTCTAGGGAAGAAAAAAACTGGGGTAGGTGGTGGAGGGGGTCCAGAGAGACACCCCTGTACCTCTTGTCCCCGAGCCCACCTGCACCCAGGAATGGGCAGTGGGTGCTGAGCTGTGAGTGCATCAACCCCCTCCCCCACAGAGGGAGGGCGAGCTGCTGCCCCAAGTTGGCCTTACTGATCATGGGCGACTACCCTCCCCTCAACTGGGGCTTTTCAACAAGGGTAATCTTGTGGGTATTTTTTGTTTCCTCCACATTTTTAAATTTTGTGCTAATGGGATGTGTGCCCGCCCCCAACATCTGTCAATTTTGTCTAGGCTCCACCTGTCCTCAACTCCTTTGTTCTGTCTGTGAAGCCTGGTGTTTGCCTCAGTCTCCACCCCCACCCCCGTGTGTTTAACCTTAATGGTTGGGATGTGAACAGTGTTGGCCGTAGATGTAAAGTTTTTTTGTGAAGGGTGGGTGGGGAGGGGATTGATTCCAGAGGGTAGAGGCCAAGAATTTGGTTTATTTTTTTCAATCTTCTTTCCAAAAAGAAAAGGGAGGGGGATACATGGGTGCATTTTTTTAAGCTGTCTTGGATATCTATTTAAATGTGTGTGTTTTTTGGTTTTTTATGATTTTTTTTAACTGCCTGTGATGTGTCCCCTGAGCTGAGGGTGGAGGCCTCAGGCAGGAGCCTAGCCCACCCATAGTTCCCTCTTTCCGCTGACGGACTTTCCCCCAGATAGCATTAGCCACCCTCGGGGAGAAAATCCGGCTGTGGGGATCCACCTCGCCCAAGTCTCCTTTTATTGAAATGAAATTTGGGGGGGGGGGAGAAACCTTACACGAGCACCTAATTTCAAATAAACGGAAACGAGACGTGAACTTTAGTCCCCGCTTGCTCCTTCAGGGTCCCAGGCTCATTGTTCAGGACTGAAGTGCCCTGGTTTTCCATGTCTCTTCCCCAGCTTGGGGCTGGCAGGAAGCTGCCTAGGGTGGAGGGAGGGAAGGCCTAGCCACTTCCTGCTACCCAAGGCCGGAAGTCCCTTTGGGCGTGGGGCTGGGGCATGCCCTGGGCGAGGCTTTCACCCTCAGTTCTGACTGTCAAGTGGGCTGAAGACGGGAACTTCGGAGTGGGTATCCGGACGGACACTCCCAGCTCCCAGTGGTGGGAGGAGTTCTGAGCAGAGACGGAAGTGCTTCCTAGAGTCGCTCCACTCCCCCGCCCCAGGCCTGAGTGACTTGCCCCCTCGGTGGCCACCAATTTTCCAGGTCTTTGCTCCAGCCGTACCCCTTCTGGGTACTGCAAGCTGGTTATGATTGGGAACTTCCCAAGGTGGCTTGCCCACCTTTTCCTCCCCCACGCCCCACAAAGGGCTTCTCTGAGATCCCTGCTCCGAGCCTTCTGGAACTGGGCTGAGACAGTTAACACTCACTCTCTGAGCTCCTTTAGTAAAACTCCCACTTCTATAGCCCAGAAAACTGAGGACTCCAACCCAACACTGGGCATAGAGATCTAGACCTGTGGCTGGAATCTAGTTTCTGTTCCTCGCCACGAAGGCTCGGGGGAAGAGGAAGCAGGTGCCTTCCCCAAGGGTGCCTGGGCATCTCCATAGAGCTTTCTGCCCCTCCCCTCCGCCCAGTCACCCCAAATCGTCCCCACGCCCACACCAGGAAGACGGATGTCCCGTCAAGCCTGATCCCAGGAGAGTTCATGGTCAATAGGCCCAAAGGTTTGGGGACGTCTGAGGCCACACGACTGACGTAGTGAGGGTGAGAACACAGTGGGTCAAGCCTGGGGGAGGGGCGGCTTCTACTTGTAGCTCAGCGCTACTTGGGGGACCAGGGAGGCGCCTGCGTCGCCAGCCACGTCCACAAGCGGGGGGGGGGGGGGGTAGGCGTCCCAGGGGATCTCAAGGTCTCGCCCTGGAGATGGAGCATGTATGTTGGGGACCCTGTCAAACCACAACCACCCCAGATCTTCTTCCCATCACAATACTTTCTACACCCCGCTCGCCCTCAGCCTGAACAGACCAACAACCCCAGGGGGCGATCATCATGACCCCGAAGTGGAGGCCCAGAGCGTGTGGCAGGGATGAAGAGGGAAACCGAGGCTCAGACAGCAAAGGCTGCCGAAATCGCACAGGGGCGGGGTCGGCCTTTCGCTTACTTCCGCCCCCCCCAAACACCCCATTGAGGAAAAAGCTGAATGGGAGGGGGCGGCCCCCGGAAACTCGACGAGATGGAAACGCGGTTGCCAGGGCAGCGCGCCGCGAGAGGCTCCCGACGTCACCGCGGGGAGGGCTCCCCGTCCGCCTGCGCCTCGGTCCAGGCTCCGCCCGCCCGCGGGGAGACTTCATTGGTGGAACTGCCTTTCGCTCCTCCGGACGCACCAATAAACTCGAGGTTGCCCTGTGGAGGCGGGACTTCAACCCGGCAAAGACGAGTGCGCGAACGCAGAGGCGCAGCGGCCCCACCCCGCTGCCCGCGCGTCTGCAAACTTGGGGGCGGGAGACGCAGCCGAGGCTTGCCGGCTGAGGCTGGGCCTGGACGGAAGAGGGGGCGTCCCTGGGGGCGTCGCACGTGGACCCCCCAGCACAGGCACGCCACGTGCACCGCGCTGTGCACACCGGCATTTCCTGCTGCATCCCCGCCGGTCCGATTGACCCTCGCCCGGTTTTCTTGCACTTCCCAGCCTTTGGGGGAACTTGAAGAAGGGAGGCTACCTGTAGCAGGGGGCTTTGTGGGACGAATAGAAGTTTGCCAAGTATTGTTGGAAGAGAAAAGGGTGTGTTGTGGGGCAGCAGTCAGGTCACGTTGTGAAGCGGCGAGGGGCTGAGGTAAGAAAAGGCAAAGCTGGCAAGGGCTCTTGAGGACATCCCCCAGGTCTAGACTTGAGCTAATGGGGCGGGGTGCCTGACCATGACCCTGGTTGGAATCACCCTTTGGGAGGTGGAAGCAAAAAAAGTGGAACAGGTTTGCCTGAAAATCCCAATAATCTGGAAGAAGCTGCGAGGGCTGATAGAAGGAATGGAGGACGAAGATTTTTTAAAATGCACGCAGGCAGTTTGGGTGAGAGAAGGATCCCCAGGGCAGGAATTCCAGGTCATCAGCTGCTTTTGCTTGTGGTCTTCGTAAAGAAATGGGGGAGAGGTGGGTGGCGCACACCTGTCACAACACTCAAGAGGCTGAGGCAGAAGGCTGACTGCATGGTCGGAGCCAGTCAACAACCTTCTGCTCAGGCCGGCCTAGGGTGGGGGCTGGCGGCAAGGAATGGTGTGGTTTGCCAAACCCTCCAAGGGGTACCCTCGCAAATGGGCAGAGTTCTGTGACCAGGCAGCCGGGGGCGGGCAGAAGGAGGCCACTAGGGGTCATGGCTTCCTGCCAAAGGCTGGAGTCCCCTGGGGGGAGGGGTGGCCACTTTGCAGTCGGGATCTGGGGACCTTGCAGCAAGCTCTGAGATGTTAGAGGTCTGGAGGTGGCTGTACGTGGGCAACTGGGAGGAGCAGAACCCGTGGAGGAGGCCAGAGATGGTGCCCGCAGGGCAGAGCCGCCCCCGTGGGGCTCTAAACAGCTCCACCCTCCTGCCCGGCCTTGGGAAGGAGACTGTGCTGGCGGCAGCTGGGCGTGGAGCTCTCCCCTAGAGTCTGATTCCAGCCCCACCCACGGCCACCTAGTCCTCCCCGGTGTCACGCGGGGCAGGTGAGCCCGCTCAGCCTGCTGGATGGAGGAGGAAGGCTCCCTCGCTCCGGTGCCAGGCTAGCTGGTTCCCTGGTTCAGGCCCTTCAAGCTTTTCCCTGTTTCTGTCTCTGTTCAGGCCCCTCTACTTTCGTTCTTTCACCGGCTGTCCCACCCCTCCCTCCCCCACTTCCGCCCCTCCTTCACCCTTCCCCCACCCCTTACATTCCAACCTCCGCCCCCGCCCCCAGCTATGGGGCCAGCTGCTGCTTTGGGTGTCCTGGGGACGGGAAGGGAGGTGGGTTCTGCCCTGGGTCAGAGGTCCTCTCTCAGAACGGCTCGGACCGAACCGGAGAGGGTGCCCCTAACCCTACTGGAATGTGGGCGGGACCGGCCCCCGTCGAAGAAGGAGGTCACCCCTCACCCCAGCAGGCAGCCGCAGACAGCTGTCATGCCCCACAAGTCTAAGCTGAACACCACCAACCCCCAGCCAGGAGCATTTACTGAGGACTGTGGGGCAGGCTCCCGGTAACAATACCTACCTCATGACCCTGATCCCGACCCCGCGCTTGGTTCTTGAACAGCCTGAACCCTGTATGCCCCAGTGGTATAAGACTGTTGTCTTAGCTGCTTCCCAGAGGAGAAAGAGGTCAGTTGGAGATTTTGAGTTCAAGGTCAACCTGGGCAACTTAGACCACCCCACTCCACCCCGATCCGCGAAGACTTGGAAAGTAAGAAACAGGTTGGCTTCACTTGCTCTGTGGTGCTGGCCTAGCTTGCCTGAAGTTCTGTGTTCCCCACAGGAAACAAAAAGAAGAAAAAGAGTTGGTGTTTGTTTATTTTTATTGTTTTAAATTGACTTATCTCATATGTCTGAGTGTATGTGTGTGCCATGTTCATGGTTGGTGGCCACAGCAGATTTAAGAGAACTCTTTTTGGATCCCTGGGACTGCAGTTTCGGACTGAGCCACCGTGTTGGGAAGCGAACCCAGGTCTTCTGGAAGAACAGCAGCTATGCTAACCTCCAAGATAGCTCTCCAAGCCCAGAGAGTGGGAATGTCTGCCCTGTCCGTCCTCCCCCATCCTAGTGGGAAACAGGAGTGTTCACAGGTGCACGTAAGGAAGGGGCTGCCTTTTGTTACCAGTCAGTCATCTGGGCACTCAGAGATAAAGGCAGGGGGATGGGGATTTCTAGGTCACTTTGCACTACAGAGAGACTTCAGGAACAACCTATCTCACAAGGACGACAAAAAAGGAAAGTCTTGCCAGACAGTGGTGGCACACGCCTTCAATCCCAGCACTTGGGAGGCAGAGGCAGGAGGATCTCTATGAGTTTGAAGCCAGCCTGGTCTACAAAATGAGTTCCAGGACTGAACACACACACACACAAAGGAAAGTCTTTTGCAGAATGTTGGAAATGCACTCAAATTGGGGCAGTTAAGTGACAGCAGAAGAATTAGCTGCCATCGGACAGCAGGAAGGAAACTCAGCAGATGCCCTTGACCCAATCCCTTTCAGACCCTGGAGGCTCCCCAGGTCCCACTCACTCCTCAGAGAGGTGCCTGGGTGCCGCCTATCCAGAGCTGACCCTCTGTGGCTGGGTGGACAGGTGTTCCAAGGGTTCAAGGGCCATCTGTTTGCATGGAGACCCTCTGGGCACCCTGAGGTTGACAGATGCTTCATGACCTGTGACTATCCCCACGCAGCTAAAAGCAGAGGAAGTACCGCAAGCCTCCAGCCCCAGGCAGAAGCTGCTCTCTCGGCTGTCTGTGCTTTCCCCTGCATGGGAAGCCATGCCATAGTCAGGTATGTGCCTGGGCACACTGAGGACAGGGCTGGCTCTTCCTGCCCCTGAGATGATGGAGATGGAGGAGGATATTGGTAAGTAACATCTGAGGGTGTAGATGCCCTGCAACTCTTCCCCTCCATCCTGCAGAAACCCAAATAGGTCATTTCCCAGGCAGATGAGCCACCTAGCTTCTGGGGTTTCCTGGGCATCCTTACAGGGTCACTAGTGTTTTCTGGGCATCTGATACAGACCTTGCGAATGAGTGCGTGTCTCCACATGCTCCTGCGCCACATTGCTTTGTCCAGCCCCGGCTGTTATTGAAGATAGACAAGCAGGTATGGGAAGCCCTAAGGAAGGCAATCTACCAGATGCCAAAGGCAAGTCGCGTTTGTGACTGAGCCTGGCGGGTCTGCAGCAGAGGATGAGGTGTGCACGTGTTTAGCATGGCCTGTCATAGGATGTGTGTGCTGGCTGGGGCGTCCCTTTGCCGGTCAAGGCCCAGTCTGAGCCAGAACCTCAGGGGCCAGGCCTCCCAAGCTTTCTTATTCCCGTTCCTGGGGTGTGACTCAGGGCTATGGGGAGGGATGAGTCATAGGAACTTGGGCCTAGCGCCCCTGGCTGCAGACCCTGTCCAGAAGCTGAATGCAGGCCCTCTGGGTGGCAGGAGGCCAGACCTCTCCTCAGACACCTGGGGCCGTCTGAGGGATCAAGGCCCACCAGGAAAAGGCAAGTTCAACTCCTACAGCTGGCTCTAGACTTTAGCTCCACTAATTGGGAGGCCCTGGGTGTCTCTGACACAGCTCTCGTGCCCACCCCTGGAACATGAGTCATGCCAGCAAGCATAGATGGCTACATTAGCACCTACCCCAGTCACGCACACCTAGCCCTGCCCTGAGCATCTCCATCCAGGTCGTGCTGGCATTTGTCAGCGTTGCAGCACCCCGTCCACCCACCCTGTCCTTAGGGAATGCGGGTCAGCCGTGCAAAATTAACCACGTCCTTTTCACACACATGGAACAAACCCGCTTCCCCGTCCACAGAAGCCAGATGTTTCTCCAAATCCTCACGGGTCTTCTGCCCACGTGCACACATGTGCGCCACACCTGGCAGCACACACACACACACAGGCTGCATCTCCACCCTGGCTCTGGTCCCCGAGGACGGGCACCAGGCTTGGCCATCACAGTCCCACTGTGCACCCCTGCCGGCAGAGGCCAGGTGCAGAGTCCCCGGCCCCCGCCAGGCCGAGAAGGGGGCGGTAATTACGCAGCCCCAGGGTGCCCCCCACACAAGAGCCTTTCATCCCGGGCCACGCCCGTCCCCAACCCAGACGCTCATTACTGCCTCCCGCCCGGTCATTAGCTCAGGTCGGGGGAGGACCCGGCAGGGGGTGGGTGGGCGCGGTGCCCCTCATCGTCTCCATAGTGACACCCAGGAGCCGAGCTCAGTGCCAGGGACTACAGAATGAGTGGGCTCGCCTTCAAGGGGTACAGGTGGCACCCTGCATCTCTGATTTATAAAAGTCAGTTGGGATTCAAGACGGCTCCCAGTGGGAGCATACACGATAGACCCGACGGGTGAGTTCTTGGCCAAGTGCACTGCCCTGACACGCGGGAGTGAACCTTGGGCATGGAGTCCAGCTATTCTGATCTCTCGTACAGGAAAGCCGCCTGCGAGCTGGGCACGGCGATACTAAACCTGCACTGTCCTGGCTCTGTCGGCGATGGCTGTCTAGGGCAGCGACGTCTAGTGGCCAAGTAGCTGGCGACCCTACAGAAAGAGGCGGCGGGACGTCGGTCCTGAACGCTCCAGCCGAGGTTGCAGCGCCCTCTTGTGTCCTGTCAGGCACCGAGCACCATTTTAAGGCAGGGGTTCACAGCGTGGATGGAGGGGTGTGTGTGTGAGAGAGAGGTTTCCAGCTCCTTTTAAAGCCCACCCAAAGAAACAAAGGGTCATAGTGGCACGCTGAGCCACCTGGCAATGTGGACACAGGTAAGTGTACGGGAACACACTTTTAACACAAGTACACCAGAGACTCAAGAGATGCCAATTGAAGCGGTATCCGCGGGTCACATATATTTGCTCGCCCTTCTGGGGATTCGAAATGGCCCTGGGTACTGGTGGAGTCTGGCCCAAAGGAGCTGGTTGGTAGAAAGCTTATTAAGTGGGTGCCGGTTGAATGAATGAATGAATCAATGAATCAATGAATGAATATGGCAATTCCCAAAACCAGGAACTGGAAGGTCTCATAATGGGAATGAGACCAGGGGCCCAGCATGACTCTGGGAGCTGGGATTACAGGA